TTAGATCTGAATTTGGCCTGATTCGGTGAGGATTTGAGGGAAACTGGTCAGGGATTGGGAAAGGGGAGGTCATGAGGACTTTGTGGTGTAAATTTGGTAGGGTTTTGAGGTGGCGCCGCCACCGGAGATGCCAAGGATTTGAGGGCGGCGCTAGGGTTCCTAAGTCTCTGATGGAGGAGATGAAGTGAAGAAGCACGAAGGGTTCTGAAGGGATTCGGATAGTTATAACCAAATATGGGGGAAGTACTTAGGGCCATTGGATGAAAGGAAATGGACGACCAAGATTAACTCAAAATCTTCGAACTCCAAACGGAGTCGTTTGGTTAAGCTAAAGACCGGACCGGGTAAAGGGCGTGAGTTTGGGCTAGATTGAACGGGTCTGAGACAATTTTTGGGGGAAGTTCAATTGGGCTGGCAAAATGGCCCAAAATCAAAGCAGCCCCTTTGTTATTTCTTTTTCCTTTCAATTTTCAATCAATTTTTCTTTCTTCTTCTTCTTCTTTTTTTTCTTTTCAAATTAAATTAAATCCTAAATTAACTTTTAAACACAATTAATCTTACCAAATTAAGCTAATTACTCGCTATAGTATTTACAAAAATTAATTAAATCTTGAATTTAAAGAAGAACTATAGAATTCGAAACTAAAGAGTTAAAATGCGAAATGAGTTATTTCTGTGATTTTTTATAAAACAACTAATTTACTAATTAACCTAAAAATGTAAAAATAAATCCTAAATGCAAATGCAGAGTATTTTTGTATTTTTACAAATTAAATGAAATTAAACATGCACACAAAAAATGCAAATAATTAAGAAAATTCTACAATAATTCCTAAAATGACAAATAATTAAAAGAAAAATCTAATTCTTTGGAATTCTGTAGGAGTAATTCATGTGGGGCAAAAATCACGTGCTCACAATCCATATAGCATGACCATATGAATTATTATTCAAAAACTTTCTCATATAAAAGAACAAGTTAGTTTATCATTTTATATATCTCTATATTGAAGTTATTTATTTATATATATTTCTTTTTTTTTTTGTAATAGTTTTCTTAAAATTATATAAATATTTAATTATTTTAATTCAAATTCAAAAAGAGTAACTAATTATTAATTAACCTAATTAATTTTGTCCTAAAATTTGATATTTGTTGAATTTTTGTTATGACACTTGGCATTATCACATTGTTTTGCTTCTCCTATTCTATATAGAATATACTAACTCCAACTTTCCTCGTTACATATTTAAAACCAAAAGATTGAAGAGTATAGTATCTCAATTCTCAACCATTCTATTAATATGGTCCGTATATATAAATAAGTTCAAGATTGTGTTTGTTTGAAAATATGAATATTCCATCCCATTTACTCGATCTGTCTCATATTATGTGTCGTGCTTTTTTTTTTTACACGCCCTTAAAAAATATTAATTAGGAAAGAGATTGAACTATTATATCCCTATTTATGTCATAAAATATAATTTTTGAATATTTATTTTATTTATGTGTTATTTATATCTTCAAGACTTATTATTATTATTATTATTAAAAATGAAAAAGAAAAAAAATTATTAATTTTATCTTCAAATAATTTGAGACAATTATTTTTTTAAGCGATATTTAGCTCGGGCTCTGGTGGGCTGGGCCAAACGATCACGGGCTTAGCGGTCATGGAATGTGGAACCGGCCCGAGATTGCTATTATGATACGCACGGAGTAGTATTATTTTTTTATTTATGCTAATCCAATTTGCATCATTACCAATGCCATGTCTAGTAATCACTTTTCCCAAGGTTGTGTTCTTCTAATCTAATCCCATAAGCGTCTCTAACAACAGCCACCGCCATTTCCCATTTTCCCATTCTCAAATCCAGCAGCTCTCTCTCATGCTATTCATGTGAAGACTAATGGAAGTCTCAAAATTCAACACTTTTCACTTCCTTCCTTCACCTCCATTCCGTTTCTGTAATTCACTCTCTCTCTCTTTTTTCAGTTTTCAAATTTATTTATCTCCATTTTCATACTCATATAATCCGTGCATTTTGATTCGGTTTTCATTTTTTTCTTAAAGGGAAGAAGGAAGTGAACTTGCCGTTATCGCCGTCTCTGCATTCAGTAATTTTCTAATTCCTTCTGATTCTTCTTTTTTATTTCTTTATTTTCTTTTGAGCTCGTTATATTTGTAGCCCATTTATGTGAACGTGTTTGACTAGCCACAAAATTTTAAGAAATAAAGAAAGATTTTTGAAATATATAGTCTAAAATAAATAATAAAAATTTGTGTGGCTAGAAATCATCATGTGGAAAAAAAATAAAGTTGAATTGTTATTTAAGTACAAATATTGAAATAGTGAAGCTATCCTGCTTCTATGAAGAATTAAATCGAATGTCTCAATGACCATTAGGCTTAGTGTTGCCGCTCATGTTAACCACATTGGATAAATGTAAAGGGTTATTGATATACATGATATTGATGGGAATTGTTATGATGGAAGAATAGTGTTTACAAAGGAAGAAGTAAAATGAGTATTAGCTTAGGAAGTCTTTAGAAAGGGGCAACCCAGTGTACTAAGCTCCCCGCATATGGCGGGTGCGAGGAAGGGCCGGGCTGGACTGCATTGGGTTTTATGTATGCAATCTTACCTTGCATTTGTACAAAAGGTTATTTCTGCAGCTTGAATTTGAGACCTCCTGGTCACATGACAGCAACTTTACCGTTGCGCCAGCCGCCAGTGCTCCTCTTCCTTAGGAAGTCTTTACCCCCCCCACACCCACACACACACAAAAAAAACGAATATAGAATATAGTTTGGGAAATGGCATAATAATAGCTACTACTATATTGATGAAAATTGGGAATGTCTAGCAGTCAATTGTGGACCTGCGGGAATGGAGTAGTGGTTGACGTCTTGACGAAGTACACTTGGAATTCAGTTGGTAGAACGTAAAAAAAAGAGTCGTTTTACTTTTATAAGCCTATGCATTAAAGTTTGCTCTAACTTGAAAATGGAAATAATGTAGGTTTGTGTCTTTGCTAATTCTTGTTCTTTGTGAGAACTGTTGGAAGCTAGAAATCATTTTCCCAACTGAATGAAGTTTCACTTATCTGAACTTTGTCTCTCCAATAACAAACAATCTTAGGGAGAATCGTACCTGATCATATTCTGAGGAAGCTTACCTGATAGTATTGTAGAATCTAAGGAGAGTGATGCAGTTATGTGTTTGTTCTGCATGGCTGAATCCTTTGTTGATCAGCAATCAGTATGTTAAGCATAACATACAACCCTATATTATGAAAAGCTAATTTTTCTCATTTATTAGTTCATATTTTGAGGGAGCTTTCCTGATAGTAGTGTAGAATCTAAGGAGAGTGATGCAGTTATGAGTTTGTTCTGTATGGCTGAATCCTTTGTTGATCAGCAATCAGTTTGTTGAGCATAACCTACAACCCTATATTATGAAAAGGTAATTTTCTTCATTTATTAGTTTTGACTACTATAAAATTTGAGATAGCAACACGCTATAAGGTTGGAATATCACTTTTGTAGACAACAAACATTACGCTTGTGGCAAGATGTGATGAAGACATTTATGACCACGTTGAGCTCGACTTTCCAATTGATTGGATCCATGGGTACAGACAAGTTAAATATGAGTAGTGTTGAATAGTTGGAGAATTTTGAGGAGTTGCATCCAAATGTTATGTTTCTAAAACTTGTTAATTAAATGGCGGAATTCTGTATGTAGAAGCATGAGAGATTTTTTATGGCTGTAAAGGAGGGGAGAGATAAGGAGAGAGAGCTTAGATGGAAAATATTATGAAATGAAGAAATCCATCTGCAAAATTCAAGCACATAGCTCCATGTAAATGGTGCTCCCTTTGGCCTAATTTTCACGATTGCTAGAGTAGAGATCTGTTTTACTGTATTTGTCTTAAAAATGATTTGTATAGTTACGATGCAAATGATATCGAGGACAACAAACATCTATTTGATGAATAGTCCTGGACAGCCACATTTTTAAACATTTTTGGGGTGCAATAAGTGACACCAATGCTGTCAAGGAGTTTTTTTTGGTGCTGGATGGGGCGATGGGCTGAAAGTGCAGAAAATGATTGAGGAGGAATATTGGGAAACAGTTCCAGTTTGTGGTTGTGAGATGACTTGGAAGGGAAGGAACTAGAGATGCTTCGTGGGCCAGGGTACAACTGTACTTGTTTTAAAATATAAATCTTAAAAGTTATTGGTTCTCTGGTGTAATTTACATCATGTGTATGATATAGATAGTATGATAGAATTTATTAGCTCAATACAATAGTGAAAAGGTTTAAATGGATGAACTCCTCTTTTGTGATGTCCAGCACTATCCCAGTGCATGGCTTCTGTTATTGATTAAGCTGTTGCTTATTTATTTAAAATAATAAAAAGAGGGCGCAGTTTGTCACTAGAGATAAAATTAGCTTCTTGAAGAGTTTATCTCTTTATTTATTTATATAAATGTAAAAGTGTCTCCTTCTAGTTTTTCTTTTTTTGGGTAATAAAGTTAGCTTAAAATGTATCTAATTGTGACCCCGGGAGAAGGGGGGTGGTGTAGGGTGGACGATACTTGGCAATCAAAAAGGGAGTTTAGAACAGCTAATTTCTAATAGAGGGAAAAATATGTTCAAATGCATGTCACCAATGGGCGTAATATTTTGGTTTCAGGAGAAGGTTATTTCTCTCTGTTCATGTCCAAAGTAAACACAAACGCTGTGGCTGTCCATGTCCATAATGTTACTTTTTTCATGCTGAATCCAAATAACTTTTGCAAATGGTATTTATCATTTCTGAGAAACAAGTGGGAGTGCTATATCCCTGCTAGCAACAACTATTGTCAGTCCTTTTTACCATGGTTGAGAACATCTTGATATGAAGGTTTTTGATATAATGATAAAGCTGTCTAAGAGCTATACTTGAATCTGTAAAAGGGAATACAATAAATCATAGACCAAATTTGCTATGACTGCAATTGTTGACAATGCCATTGACAATTTTTTCTACATTCAAAAGCTAGGTAAATCTTTTCGGTGCCTAGCTTCAGTCTCCTCTTTTTTATGTGTGTCAGTACAAGATACAGTGTAAAAATGAACAAAAGAATTTCTTTCGACTGCTCTAATTGACTTTGTTCGACAATTCATTTCAGCAATTGACTGCTAGCGATGGAAACCACTCCTGGTGCTCTTCTTTAAGGCAATCAATCGGGAGGAATTCAACATTTTGTAAGTTGTTTAGCAAATACTGTGTTCCTGTGGAATGAATCTCATGAGTAGCTTTACATCATTAGCAAATAAATCACTCAAGCAAAATATGCAATCGATAAAGTAACGTATATTTTTTTTTTTGAAAAAAAAAACCATGATCTAATTGGTGGCTGAATCATTCTGGGTGATTTGAGGCAAAGCATCCCCAAGGAATTGCTTGAGCTAATATACCCGAAATTGGGTCCTAATCAGATTGTTTCCTCCTTCCTTTGGTATTTATGTGGACCTGTGCTTAGAAGCAGATAACTTCTGTTATACTGTAGTTCATTGAGAGTGGCTCCAGTTCAGTGTTGTGAAGAGCGTGAAGCGAGGAAAAGCGACAACCCCCATTTCGCTTTTTGAAGTGAAGCGGAATTTAAAAAAAAAAATTAAAATAAATACTGGGCAGTAATTAAATTAAAATAAAATAAGAACTAAGAATAAAGGATATAAAAATTAGAGGAAGGGCAGTAATTCTCTGTTAAAAACTGGGCAGCGAAAGAAGAACCCAAGGATTGGCATCAATTCTGAGAAAGCATCGAAGGTAAAAAAAATTCGCCAGCATTTCGCTGCTATTTGGACGTTTAAACAGTGAAAGAAAAAAAGAAAGAAGAAGAAGAAACCTAGTCGATGCTATCAGATGCTCTGCTTTAAAACCCTAGTCGCTGCTGTTGCTCTTCGTTTAATGGAAGACACAACTGATTTCGTTTTTAATAAAATAGGGCACAGAAGCGGTCGCTTCCTTCGCATCACATCGCTTGATCGCTTCTCGCTTTTTAGTGGGAAGCGGTCGCTTTTTTATACCTGAGTCGCTTCACCCATATGAAGCGTGCACCTTCTCGCTTCGCATCGCTTCTCGCTTAAAGCGAGGAAGCGGGCGCTTTTTTAAACACTGGTCCGGTTAAGCTTATGGCTTGCTAATTAAAACAGACAATCAGAAATAGTTCGAAATCTCTTAGGGATCTCAAGGAAATGAGACCAACCAAGCCAAAAGGATGAACAACCAGATTCATTAATATTCTGCATTTTGAAGTGACTTTGCTGATTTAGACTTGCCTTCACATGATTGGACTGCTCTGCCTATATATCTACCATATATGCTGATATTTAAAATACTGATGAAAAAAAAAAAGTGAATGGTGAATAAGGTAGAACAAGTTGTTCGGATAGGAAAGACGACCTTTTCCATATAAGCTAGGAAAGATAAGATCTATTGAGTTTGGAATGTTTTCTTTCAGTTTTTGTAGGAAATGTTGGTTTGATGGAGTGTTTGCAAAAATAGATACCTTTTTTGGAAGTTTCCAAACTCAGTGTTCCCAATTCTGCAAAAATGAGTATTGACTTTTTGCAAGATTAAAACAACTGAGCGTGTAAACTTCCAAAAAAAGGTTGCCTGTTTTGCAAAAAGTCCATCAAACAAACAGTTTTTGCAAAAACTGAAACAATTCGAAACTTAGCTTTTGCAAAACTGAAGCAAACGCCACCTTAAAATTTTGTCTTGTTTGGTTTCAGAAGAAAAGGAAGGTTATTAATTAATAAAAGGAAGTTGTAGTCTTCGGCTAACATACTCCGTAGATATCAATTTTCTTTGCTTGGTCGATTCTCTCTTCAGACATTAGAAGAAAAGTGACTCTGCTTTTTTCGACTTGATTGCTTTCTAAAGTGTCTGATTTTCTCTGATGGATTATTCAATTGGGCTTTCCCCACATGCTCTTTGTGTTCTATTTTGTGTATTTGATGTTGAATAGTTATCCCGGATTTCATCTGCTAATTAACTTAGCTTATTTTTTGCAGATGCCCTCCCAGGCAGTACAGTTTTTGGCACAAGTAGACAAGCATGTGTCTCCCTTCACTCTTTCCCCCAAGGAAAGAAGCGTAATAACAGTTATGGAAATAATAGCTTTTATAGACAACAAAGATCATTGAGGCACATTATTGCTAGGTCCGAACTTGCTAATACCAGCTCAGCTGGTGCTGCTTATCCACTGTCAGGTGCATTCAAAATTGCTTTACCCACTTATTTGCTTGGAGGTTTCATCTTTTACAAAGATACATCTCTTTTACAGGACTGGAGTTGAGGTCAAAAGTGAGAGCGATTTGCTTTTACTCAGTCACTGCTTTCTCTTCCATCTTTTTGTTCATGATCATGCTTGTGCAGCATCCTTTTGTACTCTTGTTTGATCGATGCCGTAGAAATGCTCACCATCTTGTTGCCCGGACATGGGCAACCTTGACCATTACTCCATTTTATAACGTTGAGTTTGAGGGCTTGGAGAATCTTCCTTCTCCAGATACTCCTGCTGTGTATGTGTCCAACCATCAGAGCTTTCTGGACATATATACGTTACTTACTCTTGGAAGAAACTTCAAGTTTATCAGCAAGACTGCGATTTTCCTCTTTCCTATTATTGGATGGGCCATGTATCTGATGGGTCTGATTCCGTTGAGGCGCATGGACAGCAGAAGTCAATTGGTACTTTTTCTTTGATGTGATTACTAACACATATCCTCATGCCTATGCTGATTCTTTTTAAGTTATTCAATCATATGTCAACAGTTTTGACATTTTTGAATCCTATTGGAAGTTTGAATTTCGACCTGCTTATTAGCTTTTATGAATTTAGGAATGTCTCAAGCGATGCATAGATCTAGTCAAGAA